AGACCGTAGAAAGTTTTCATCCAGCCAGCGGGTTGTCCGACCATGGAACTCGCTTCCAAGCGAGATGGTGATAGCTGACACAATTTGTATGTTTAAAAGAAAACTTGCGCGCCTGATATTCGAAAGAAATCGGCTTTCACAGCACGACCACTCACGACCAGCTCTGTAAAATACTTTGTCGTACACGATCTTCCCATACTGACTTCCAGTGAACAGTTGCGCTCCCTTATCATTACGACTTTACTGTGACCTGATCACATTTTTATTGTCTGCAACTTTAGTTTGAACGCAAATTTTTGAAAGCATTGTACATAAATAGGGTCACCAAAGGCCCTGCCTCTATCCCCTCAAATACATGCATGAATGCATACATAGTTCGACCGGCGATTTCGACGATGTCCACCGTGTCCCCCACAGACTGCATTGTGGGAGCAGGGACGGTGGCTTACGCAGGAGTTTATAGTGCCAGAAGACTTGCGTAGCATCTACCTACACTCTCTCCTCCTCCCCCGCCTGGACCCGGTGTCAAGACAGAGTCAAGAAGACCGGAGGCGAGGGAGGCCGCAGGTGGATGGCTCGGACGGATCCTCACCTTGGCGTTCCACCACACCCCCTGGTCCACACAACAATAACCAGGATTTTGACCACAAAACAATGGGGTGGCGGCAGTGGTCAAGTTGAGCGACGAATGCCGACAACAGGGTCCGCCAGCGCACCCCGAAAATGTTGGCATTTGTTATTGCGCACAGATAACGCCTGCCAGAGTCCGATGTGGCCCCCGTGTTGGTCCAGCGCATCTATCACGTGGCCCGTTTTGAGGGCACATGCATGCATGCATGCATGCATGCATGCATACATACATACATACACAGAACGGTGTTAGCACGCTCTCAGCGTGATAATAGCCCCTTGCAATTGGCTGCTCCCCTCGAGCTTCATTGGTCTGTCCATGCGAGAAACTATCAGCTCGTCTGGAATTTTCCTCTCGAGGCACATTGGACCGAATGCCGGTCAACTCCTATAGGATGTTATAAATATGCGTTATTTTCTCAGTAAGGACGACTTGCAGTTCCCTTATACACTTTTTCGTGACTGGTCGTGCTCTCCTTCTCTGCCGCGTCGTCATTGGGAATGAGAGCCGAGTGAGTACACGCTTCTTAAGATTTTCTGAGCACCAGGCCGGGTCATATCCTTACCCCTCCTTTCAGCGACAATTTTTGCTGTTTTTGATGTCGCCTCGTCACGGCGAATTCCTGTGTTCTCGCTGTCTGCTAGTAGTTTGTTCGGTTAGCAAATAAGTATCATGGCCGCATCTTCCCGTACGCTTCAATGGCTGCCTCGGCCCTTAATACTCCCTATTCAGTTGGACTCTAGGCAGGCTGTGACCGGTTGCGTTTGGGTCCACCTCGTCTGGCCATCTTGACAGTTGCTTCTGTTGTCAATACAAAATACTATGATCGAATCTGCACCGAAAAGCCTCACCCGGTGTGGGGACTTAACCTTGATGATGTCTGCTTCGTGCCCTTGTATACTACCACATGCAGGACGGTCCTGCCTGACCCGCAAAATTGCCTTTCCATGAACGACAGTTTGTTCCTTGAATACTAATAAAATCACATTCATGTTGTTTCCTACACTGTTCGCTAATCATTTTTTATACCAGGCTGCTTATTCTCTAAGTACGAAGTGGACAATACAGTATCTGTCTACTTGCTCCAAAATTAACTTGAAAATTAACGTTTATTTGCTATGACAGTACGCCTAGTGGTTCTAAAGAAAAACAATTTTCTTATTTACTTATATTAGTGGCATGAGTCAATGCCTATCTAAATAATACGAGAACTTCCGAAATGGGTGGGAAAAGGCGAAACTAATAGCATAACCAGCCGCTATCTTCACATATATTGTTGATTCCGGGCATCGTTTGAGCCTTATTCGCCTGACGTTTAAAATTCCTGCTCGAACCCATCATCCGAGACAATAGCAGATACGGTTGGTTCATGCACGCAGGGCAGCAGTATTTATAGGATGCAGTCACCACTCTACCATATACCTGTGAAAATTCCCTTCTTCCCGCTTAATCGGGGATTGTCGCACTTGGTTTGATGGTCTACATTCGCGTCCTTAATCGCTGCAATTTCATCACGGGTGTTGGATGTTGGTGTGATGATTGCTCGACCACCTGGCAAAACGATCCTGGCGTTGGGAACAGTGTTCTCCTGTGCGCACCCCTCGTGGCTAACTACTCCGCCTGGGCGAAGTCTCAGCACTGAGTATGGAAGGGGAAAGTCGTTGCACTTGTTTATGAACTGGGGCCAGTAAACCATGATTCAACCGACTCCTGGATTACGTGGTTGTCACCTTTAACGAGAATTTCGGCCTTGTCGAACTTGAATGTATGGCCTGATCTCGTCGAATGAGCCGCAACTTGAGAGCTGGTGTCATTTCTCCGCACCACTGCAGCCTGTTCGGCCATTCGCGTTCGGAGCTGTCTTGCGGTTTCTCCGGTGTGGTTGCTTTGTCCGCAACTGCACCACATCCGACAAACGACCCCAGAAGTTTCTTGCCGCGGCAGCGAGTCTTTCGATATCATTACCTGACGCCCGACGGTTGCCTCCGGTCTTTGTGCAACTCCAACCCCAAGTGCTGCTAGAAGGCGGCCGGCAGCCTCCGAAATGTTCTTGACATACGGAAGCGCTCGCCAGAAAGGGGCTAGCCTCCTTCCAAATGAGGTCGTGATAACTTTTGCTGTAATGGGGACAGTCAGTTTATCCGCGGGCAGCACAGTCGCAAGGTAAATGTTTACATGCTTGTAAAATCTGTCCTTCCGTACAATCATGACTTGTCGTTGGGAGTACAGGCCCCGAGGATTGTGACGGATTTATTTTGGCAGTTTGAAAGCCTAATGGCCAGGAGACAGATGTCAATTCTTAGACAGAAGCGAGGCGTTTGCTCCACAATGGGCGTTCTTGAGGATGAGGGCGGTTTTAACTTCTCATCATCTGTACATCCATCAGCCATTCCAGAAGATAGTCTGTCCAACGCCCTCCTTATCCAGTTGTCCTCACTCCTATAAGCAAGGGCGTGAGGACCAGGCGCCGACATGTAAACATCGGCGACATTTGCAGAGACCAAGGTAATTGGTGTGATGTAAAAGCCACAAACGCCAGGTCAAGTCTCGCTTAAGTGAAGTAGATTGAAGAGACCCAATTAAGTTTTTATTCTGCGTAGGTCTCTAAGCAGCCGTCGTAATTGGCAGCAGCCTCTGGTGAGATCAAAGTAATGTTGGCGGTGATTAGTCACCCCTATAAGAGGTAAAATATATGATAATCGCTGTTTTATAGATCTAAGGGAGTCAAAGATTTCGCACCCGAGTGGGGAGATGCGTGACATGAGAAAAAGCGGTTGCAGTAATGCTGACGCGCATAAGTGAAAATGACACGCACGGTCAGATTTTAGGGTAAACACTTCCAGGAGCGTTCGCAAAGGGGCTGAACTAAGAAACTGAGGTGTGTATTTATGTACCTTGCTTCACTGATGGTGGGGTAGATAACTTGTGGTCGTCATCCCGCGTCCAGAGGGGCGTGCACACCTTTGCGTTTGAAGGAGATACCCAGTACGACTACTCGTGTGTATCGATTAGCTTGGAATTATATTTAGTCACAGACTTGGTCTTCACTCAACGCGTTAGTGACGCACCATTCCATAAATGTCCACGCCAGCCAGTTAACTAGGGAATCCGTTCCACCTTCAGCACAGAAAGACACAGGTATACGGCAGTGCGTACGCTTTCGAGGGCATTTTATTCTTATTTTAAGTATCAGTCTATTTCTTTAGACTCTATCTCTCGTTTCCAGCTGCCTAAGCTCTGGTGCATTTGTAGTGTGCTTGTGGATATGACCTCCGATGAAGACCTAGGACCTTACCGATTTTCTAACCTTTTTGATGAGTAGCCCAATATCCGATTTGGATACTATGCCCATACTGGATCTTGGAAAACGAAGATGAAGTATTCAGACGTCCTTTTTCCCTAGTAAATGATAAGCTTCTAACGGGGGCCTGTGTAATGTTTGACTACTCGCTGCTTATCCGTGTTTTCGGGCCTACATGGCATCTATGCGTCCATTACTAAGTTACTTTATAGATAAACCTGCAGATGCGTTGTAAGTTTCTCAGAGACAGGAAAACGTGAATGTGACTTGAGAAACTCACGCTGACTTTAAATTGATTGCATGCCAAGGGCGCGTTCCTCGACTTGTGCTTCATACGTGTTCAGGAGTACGTGTCATGCATATTCTTGTCCTTATAGCCGTATATTTTCCGTTTCTTCTCACCCTCACACCCTCTGTGGGAGCCATTAGTTTTTACCTCCAGTCAGGGACTGTAAAGTGTCTGCAGGATGAAATGGAGAAGGATGTTATGGTCATCGGGGAGTATGACGTATCACCAGGCGCCACAAGCCATGTGAACATCGAAGTGAAAGACACCAAGGGCCACATATTTTTTCAGAAGTCTGACATCACAAAGGGCAAATTTACATTCTCCGCAGAGGACGACGAAACCTTCGATGTATGCTTTCACTGTACTGCGGCCGTAGGTACGTCTTCATTGCAGCGTTTCATCATAATTAAGGCACAAACGAACAGCGAGAAGTCTATCTGAATATAAAAGAAGGAGTTGAGACGAAAAATTATGCCGCCTTCGCCGAAGCTGAGAACCTCAAACCAGTTGAGGCTGAATTAAAGAGAATCGAGTACATCAGCGACTCGATTGTGAAGGATTTCATCTCCATGCACTCCAGAGCGGACGCAATGCGCAACATCAATGGTAAGCACTTCAACACATTCTTACTCATTGATGCGATTTTCTTTTTTTATTTACCCTAGAATTAGGCATACAACTATTTAGGAAACGTCCGATTTTGAACCGGGGGCCATCTCCTACAACTGGTTTTTGTAGAAGTGTCGACAAAAAAAGGCATTCCCCCTCTGTGATATTAATAGTTTATCCGTGATTGCCTGCGGGGACTGTTCGTTGAGCCCTTAGGCACCGTGTAACTAGATAATTCTGTAACCCGATCGGTGGACGCACTTCCGACGCGTTACTTAACCTGTTAATCCACAATCGTACCGTTGTCCAAGTAGATGTTTCGTATCTAAGCACGCCTCACTAATATAGCTGCCTTGAATTTTAGCTTCGACCCATGGCCGCGTGCTCTACTTCTCAATCTTTTCAATGCTTTGCCTGGTCGCCCTAGCCACTTGGCAAGTACTTTATCTGCGGAGATACTTCAAGTCAAAGAAACTCATCGACTAATTCCCCGCTAGCGCATATATAACGAACAACCTGGCGGACGTGAAGACTACTTTTGTGTTTGATTTGTCAACTCTGATGAACTTCCGCTGTACATGTTCTCATCCTACTTCATGCTTTAGAATCCTTGATACTGGGTCATCTCCGAATTTTGTTTCGGAACCTCGTTTCTCCCTGATTTATTAAGTATTTGCATATGTATGGTTTGCGTGTCCATTATTCGGTGGGGTCTTTATGCATGTCTCGTCATTAGTTTTGCAAGACTTGTGGTGGAGGTGTCTTATGTTAGAACAGATTTTAAACTTTCGCGCTTGCTGCAAAGGTGGACTTTAGGTCTGTTCCTCAGGATGCGCTAACCTACAGCATCCTAGTTGACATCCGTAATATACTCCCCTTGCAGAATTTCTCGCTTGTCCGGACAAGGCCCACTTAATCCCACTCATCGACCGAGCGCCATGCATGCTCTGGTGGTCCGAACGTCACGCGCCTTACCCGAATATAAATTTATCGGGACATATGGTTTTGGGATGGACGCCACTGTAAATGTCCCCCCGGGGCGTACGAAATGAAAAAGTTGGTCAACCTTGATAACATGGCGGGACGACTAAGGCTCCATGGCCAGCGTTTCCCTGCTGAAAGTCATTGATGGCTCTGGATTGAAAAGCAGAAAAATGTTCAACCGCGCCGCGTCCAAATATCCCTTCAGCCTGATGGAAGCACTGTGCGGCACCACCAAGCCTCCATAAACGATTGAAAAAGGCTTGGTAGAGCAGGCAAGGCGAATTAGCTTCCCGTCTCAAAGCCTCTCCTTCATCCTGTCTCTAGAGTCCGGGATCTAACGGGTAGAAAATATCTCTGACAAGAATAAACTGGTGCGTATCAACCTCGAAACGTATATCCCCGCCACCATTTTTCGTCTCACTCCCTCCTAGAGTTTTCGTTAGGGTCACGGAACACGACGCCCGTTATGGAGGAAGCAGTTCTGTGTAGCCATGTTGGACTCATGATATTCCATTTGCGCGAGCCACTGCCTGGCAATATTTTAGGAGACGCTCATACAATACATTTGGTCCCTGCCTACTAAGCCACGCACTAGTTCAACAAAAACTAGACGGCTTGAACCTTCCAGCGATTCGCCGCTCGACAATCTACCTTGCCGCGCTGGGCCATCTCAGTCTTCAAGAAGTTTGAGTACGGGCAACTTTTGCCTTGAAAAAGTCGGGGTAAACGGCAGAAGCTCTTTAGCAGCCAAGTAGGAACCAGTCAGTAGCGTTAATCAGGATTCTTCGCCGATCCTAGCAGCCGTTGTACTTGCGGTAGCGAAACCCTGGATACGCGAAACTGTGCGAGATGTCCTCCCAGCACTTTCCTATAGCATATCTTAGCTTTGATTACTACCCATGGCAGTCATGCAGACTTGCAATATTTCTAGACGTTTGGGGTAGCCAGCGGGTGTCTGGAGCGACCTTACCCACTTCACGCCCTTAGAAGGATTACGGGACGCCATACTCGCCCCAGACCAAGTATTTCCACGCTGTTACTATCCTCTTGTGATAATTTGCTAAGACAGCAGCCGGTGATTTATAAGACGGATATTGGGAACAATGAGGACCCCCAGAAAGAGGCAGTTCAGTAAGTTGATGGAATACTGTCAAGGTACGCGCTCCGCACCCACCGACCAAATCTAAGAAATCGGGCGTTCTCTCTGGCTTCTGATGTTGTTTGCCTTCCCCTCCGACAGGCTAAAGCTTCCGGTAAGTCACGTAGGTGGCACCTTATCCCCACCAGGTCATTACTAAGACTCGTGAGGGTAAATTGAACTTTCTTCTGCGAATTCAGTTCACAATGGAAGAAAGAGACGTAGTTCCATTTCGCAGATCTGGTGTCAGGGCCCCCACAGTCGTCCATATTGGGTGTCGTAGGTGGGACGGGCAATGTTTGACTCTGCCTTCCCCGTAACGGCCATTCCATGCAACACACATTTTCCCGGAAATTGCTTCACTGGGTCGACAATGCGTCACAAATCATGGCAGACTGACGGAGCACATTCTTCCGTCTTGTGTGTTACAAGGATGAACCGAAAGTTGGACTCGTAATTTCGCGCACCACACTGTTATGCATGTCACAGGAGCTGTTGGACGTATTCCGGACGTGTGGATGCGCCGCCGCACATGCACTCGTAATTGGTACAATTGTGATCGTGCCTCATCTAGCCGGTCTCGATGTTACGTATCATACCTCACTGCGCGTGACGATCTGCGACAACAGATCTGGACAGTTCGACCCCATTCTCCTCAACGACGGAGACCGGATAGCGACTATACAAGAACCACTTCCATGTTTTGACGAACTGCGTCGATCCAGGTTTTGAGGTGACCTCTTCGACGCCTCTAGGTGGCAGTGATGTCGGATCGAGGGCAGTGACATTGAGCTTGCGGGGTGGACGACGAAGAACATGCCTAAACCACGTCAGTAGTCTTGGATGACCTGAGATATCCTCGCGATACTGTCACGAGTCCGGACTGCATCATTTGAGACAATGTCTGTGCACTCCATTCGATGGATGGCCCTCAGGCGAAGTGACGACTTCGCTCGTTTGTGACACCACAAACTGTAAGTCACCGAAGCTTGGGACTCGCAAGGTGATATCGTCAGCGTAGTCGAGATAAGTCAGCCGGCGCCCGAGTGCGAGGTCTGCACCATCAAAATTGTGTAGGGCCCTTCCAAAAATCAAGTTAATGGCGTAGTTGGACAGAGTGGGCGGCAGGATGCAACCTTGTCGAATAGCAAATCAGATATCAAACGTTTGAGAGAGATTGTTTGGAGAGAGTTTGGATCAGAACTAACGTAGTGGGGAAGCGATAGTAGACCTTGATCACAGCGATACCTTTTGTCGCACATCATTTGGTTCCATTATTCGCTACAGAGACTCATGATAGACGGAGTCGAATGCAGCGGCGAAGTCAACGAAGGGTGCTTGTTTAGTATTTTCGTTGTCTACTTGGCCAGAATGATCAGGGCACGCGCATAAATCTGAGGTTAGCATCAGTGGAGACAGAGGAGCTCAAGGGAAACGGTTTAAAGGTAAAAGCATCCGGAAATTTACTCGTGAACTTCCTATGATGTCAGTCCACACGCCCTCCTTGCAGACTGGATCTCATGCCTTGGGGCTTATTTGGCTCAAGTACACACCAAACGCCGTCGTTTTCGCTGCATGCTTGCTCAATGCTAAGTGGAATTTCACCTTGTCTCCAAACGACGACCTACTTTTGATAATTCATCTATGCACCTGGACGTGGACCACCACTACCCTGGAGAAACATTAGTAACTTGTGGATGAATCAGTTTTTGGCGAGAGAGACCTCGCTCAATTTGCATTCACCTTGCTCCAGTGCAGGACGTCAATGAGGCTTATGCCACATGGCCGAGCCCTAGTCGCCAGGAAATACCTCATCCATTCATGCTTTCTCAGTCACCCACGGGGCTAGGACGCCATTGTCGATAGAAGACTCATAGATTTTGCGGGGATGCCGTCCTCAGCGGTCGCCTTGTTGTTCAGCCTCTGTATTGCACCTCAGAAGAGTGATCGCATGACACTGCACAGGCTGAATAAGGAAAAAGATCCGCTGGAGAAGAGGGCGAGGGTGTGATGAGTTGTCCTTCGAAGTCGAGAGGGTGCTCGAAGTGTTCACGCCAACGACCGACCTTGGCTGAGTTGTCAGCAGTAAGGCCGCTATCTACATCACTAATAGAGTCACTGAATGTTGAGGGCTTGCCAATAACCTGGCGGATAATTTGGTAGAGATCTTGAATGTCATCAATGTTGGAGGCCTGTTCCGCGGAGGTCGCTGTTTTGGTTCAATATTTCCACTGGGCATCCCCAGCCGACTTTTCTGTCACTTTCCGGAGTTGGCGGAAAGAATCACCGTTGCAGGACCTGACTGAAGCCGTCTGGGCGGACAGCTACCGAATCCTTCCGCTGACCCAGTCACTGGTTCCGCTAAATCAATCTGAGGATTTTCCCAGCTGCCTCGTGGATGGATGACTTTCACTGCGAATATTTGCTGTTACCGCCTCCTCCGGCATGGGTCGTAAAACGAGACCGGATTTCTAAACTCGAGGCTTCGGCGATGCTGGGCTGTTGAGGTTTTGCGACATCAAGGTGTCTCGCACGTGACATTTTAGGCGCATGTGAGAGGCCTTTGCAGACGAGAACATGTCAGGTCCATGAACGTTACCAATTTCGGCATTACGCACAATCCTGCTATCTTAAGTCCATATGCGGAACTTTGAACCGACTAGTATTTAGCCGATCTGACGGACCGTATGACCATCGTCTGAATACCAGATGTACAGATGTTTGTGACGATGCTGGAAGCACGTATCATTAGACAAAGTTGCGGAGCGCGTCGGTCCGCGCGGATCCCGTAGCATGGGTCGTAATACTTTAGCCGGACATATTTTTATGAGGTCTCTCGGGAGTTTTCAGTGCAGGCAGATCCTCAACAGCCGCTCGGGTTGTTTGTTTTAAGTTGTCTCTTCTACCGCATTCACTAAAGAAACTAATCACAAGGAAGCGGTGGCAAGCAAACCTATTTAATTGCGGTTTACGGTCACCATGCTTTACGGCATTTTATTAGGCAGTCGGCGTGCCGGATCCCAGCCATCTGCGCCATTGCAAAATTTTCGCTGCCGATCCGGGACTGCTTAGTCCCCAAGAGCTTGCAAATTTCGCAGCTAACCTTTGCCAAGGGCCGGTTCACTACCCGCTTCATGTGGACGCGACGGATAGCCATCAGCTAAGCTAACGGCTAACTCGTCTTCCCGTACATATCAGAAATAGCATGCCATATTAGCTGCTGTAATCTTCCGTTCAATAACTGCATCATACTGAGATAGCGGTTGACAACACCGATGCATGAACTAGTAACGAAGCTATGGTGTACGTGAACGGACATCTTCCTTCGCAACTCAAGAGACTGAAACCACTGATCGGCCCTCGC